GTATGTTTGCACGTATTGGCATTTGAATGCAGGCGTGCATTTTTCTGTAGTGTGGTTTTTGAATATGGTGGTGTGTTTTTATGTAGTGTTGACATTTGGATGCAGGGTTGTATTTGTGTGTAGTGTAGGTGAAATGCTGAGATGTATGCACATATACCTACACTGGCACACATACAGATAGACTCACAGATACAAACACACACACACACAGAGAGACACACAGGCACAGACACAGATACAGATACAGACACACCAAAATAAACACAGACACACAAACAGATACACATATACAAACACATATACCAACAGACATACAGATACACAGACACACATGTATAAGTGTGTGTCTGTGTTTGTATAGTGTATGTAGTGTGTTTGTATAGTGAATGCAATGTGTGTGTGTGTGTTTAGTGAATGCAGTGTGTGTGTAGTGGATGCAGTGTGTGTTTCTGTACGGTATGCAGTGTGTGTGTATATATAGTCAATGTAGTGTGTGTATAGTGTGTATGTATAGTGTATGCAATGTGTATAGTGTATGCAGGTTGTGTGTATTGTGTGTATTGTATGCAGATGCAGTGTGTGTTTGGAATAAGTGCTGGGAAGGTAAGTAGTGTTGTTTGCCCCCCCCCCCCCGTGACTCTTACCTGTGCACCCCCTATTCCTGACACTTACCTGCCCCCTCCCCCCCGGAATATTACCTGGGTTCCTCCCCCCCGTCCCTGACTCTAAGGAGGGGGGTCACACTACATTCCCTGGTGGTCCGGTGGCACAGCACAGTTGGCCAGTAAAGAGGGGCCCAGGACTCTCCACGCTCGTTTCACATCCAGCAGCACAGCAACCGGCGGCAACCCTCTCGCGAATCGCAAGAACAGAGGGCCTGCTACTGCTGGATGTGAAACAAGCGTGGAGAGTCTTGTAAGCAGCCCAGGCCCCTTTAAATAAGACACATGGGCAGTGAAATGCCACCCCTGTAAAAGTGCGCCACAGGCAACCCCTAATGAGTGGCACCCAGGGCAGACCGCCCTCTCTGCCGCCCCCTCCCCCCCCTTTAATACGCCACTGGGTAGTTATCTACCAAACAGATGAAAGATCAAAATTAAGAAAAGCTCTTTTTTAAATGTTGATATTTCGGTTGTTTAGTAGATAACTCCCTTATTTGCTATCCTTAAAGGGATCCTATAGTGCCAGGAAAACAAAGCCATTTCCCTGGCACTATGAGGTTAATAGGTCCCGCCCCTAGCTCGCGCCCCCACTCCCATGGGGCTGAAGGGGTGAAAGCCCCTTGAGCCACTTACCTGAATCCAGCGCCATCAGCGCTCCATCCACACTCCTCGTCGGCGGGGGAAACCTAATGCGCATGTTTATTCGATGCTTTCCTATGGGAAAAATCTGATGCTGGAGGTCCGTGAGGACGTCCAGTGTCAGATAACAGACGAAAAGTCTGTTAGGATTCAGGAAGTGCCCCCCAGTGGCTGTCTGGTAGACAGTCACAGAGGGCAGACTTAGAGCTGCAGTGTAAACATTGCAGTTCTCTGGAACTGCAATGTTTAACATTGCAGCACTAAGTGCAAAAGGGTCACAACACCCAGACTACTTCAATTAGCTAAAGTGGTCTGGGTGCCTACAGTGTCCCTTTAAGCGAGATTGCCATATACACTGCTCAAAAAAATAAAGGGAACACTTAAACAACACAATGTAACTCCAAGTCAATCACACGTCTGTGAAATCAAACTGTTCACTTAGGAAGCAACACTGAGTGACAATCAATTTCACATGCTGTTGTGCAAATGGGATAGACAACAGGGGGAAATTATAGGCAATTAGCAAGACACCCCCAATAAAGGAGTGGTTCTGCAGGTGGTGACCACAGACCACTTCTCAGTTCCTATGCTTCCTGGCTGATGTTTTGGTCACTTTTGAATGCTGGCTGTGCTTTCACTCTAGTGGTAGCATGAGACGGAGTCTACAACCCACACAAGTGGCTCAGGTAGTGCAGCTCATCCAGGATGGCACATCAATGCGAGCTGTAGCAAGAAGGTTTGCTGTGTCTATCAGTGTAGTGTCCAGAGCATGGAGGCGCTACCAGGAGACAGGCCAGTACATCAGGAGACGTGGAGGAGGCGGTAGGAGGGCAACAACCCAGCAGCAGGACCGCTACCTCTGCCTTTGTGCAAGGAGGAACAGGGGGAGCACTGCCAGAGCCCTGCAAAATGACCTCCAGCAGGCCACAAATGTGCATGTGTCTGCTCAAACAGTCAGAAACAGACTCCATGAGGGTGGTATGAGGGCCCGACATCCACAGGTGGGGGTTGTGCTTACAGCCCAACACCGTGCAGGACGTTTGGCATTTGCCAGAGAACACCAAGATTGGCAAATTCGCCACTGGCGCCCTGTGCTCTTCACAGATGAAAGCAAGTTCACACTGAGCACATGTGACAGACGTGACAGAGTCTGGAGACACCGTGGAGAACGTTCTGCTGCCTGCAACATCCTCCAGCATGACCGGTTTGGCAGTGGGTCAGTAATGGTGTGGGGTGGCATTTCTTTGGGGGGCCACACAGCCCTCCATGTGGTCGCCAGAGGAAGCCTGATTGCCATTAGGTACTGAGAGGAGATCCTCAGACCCCTTGTGAGACCATATGCTGGTGCGGTTGGCCCTGGGTTCCTCCTAATACAAGACAATGCTAGACCTCATGTCTAGTGTGTCAGCAGTTCCTGCAAGACAAAGGCATTGATGCTATGGACTGGCCCGCCCATTCCCCAGACCTGAATCCAGTTGAGCACATCTGGGACATCATGTCTCACTCCATCCACCAACGTCACGTTGCACCACAGACTGTCCAGGAGAAGTCCAGGTCTGGGAGGAGATCCCTCAGGAGACCATCCGCCACCTCATCAGGAGCATGCACCGGCATTGTAGGGAGGTCATACAGGCCTGTGGAGGCCACACACACTACTGAGCCTCATTTTGACTTGTTTTAAGGACATTACATCAAAGTTGGATCAGCCTGCAGTGTGTTTTTCCACTTTAATTTTGAGTGTGACTCCAAATCCAGACCTCCATGGGTTGAGAAATTTTATTTCCATTTTTTAATTTTTGTGTGATTTTGTTGTCAGCACATTCAACTATATAAAGAACAATGTATTTCAGAAGAATATTTAATTAATTCAGATCTAGGATGTGTTATTTTTGTGTTCCCTTTATATTTTTGAGCAGTGTATATGGATACCATGCACACACATTTTCATGTACTCACAAACAAACACACACACACACAATCACAGACATACACACACTTAACCACAGGCAGACACACACATAATAAAATACACGCACACACTCAAAGTTATTTACATGTGTTATCACAGACATACACACACATAATTATAGACCTACACACACACACAATCACAGATACACACACACATAATCAGTGACCTACACACACAAGCACAGGTACACACTTACACACACATAGTCAAACAAACACACATCATATACACACGCACACATAATTACTGACATACACAATCAGACAGATTCATACACACACATTTTTAAAATGTCTTTATGGTCCACCAAGCCTCCAAACCTTCCTCTGGTGACCAATGGGGCTGGTAGGATCATTATGTTCTCTCTGCATGTATCCAACATGCAATCTGTTGTGATGTTGATGCCAGGTGCTCACCCCTCGTGTACTCCTAGGTGCTCCAGGCTTCTGAGTACTAAGAAGACAAGGAGCAGCCTGGCAGAGACACCAGGTATGTTTCTTGTACATATCTTCTACAGCCCCCATGCCCCCCTACACCTACCACAGACCCTATGCCTTAATGCACCCACCTCTGCCTCTTTGTCCTCTTTACTCACCACAGTCAAAGTGCTCCCTGCACCCACCTAAGACCCAATACATCCCTGCACCCATATCAGCCTCTATCATTCCCTGTACCCACCTTAGCCCTCCAACCCTCCACACCATTATGCCTTCCTGCACCCACCTCAGCCCCTTTGCCTTCTTGCACCACCCACCGCAGCCCCTATCCTTCCCTGTACCAACCTCAGCCCTCATACCTTCCTTCACCCATTTCAGCCCCCTTAAACTCTCCACAAGCGCTACGCCCCCCCGCACCCACCAAGCCCCTATGCCTTTCTGCACTTGCCTCAATCTCTATATCTCCCTGTAACCACCTAACCCACTACAGCCCCCAAGCCTTTCTGCACCCATTCCAGCCCCTATGCATCCTGACCCCACTCGTGCCCCTATGCCCCCCTGTGCCCAGTACAGCCCCTCTAGCCCTGTGTGTCCACTACAGCCCCCACCCCCCACAAGGAACCTCACTGTATACATACAATCCCTCCCGACAGATGCAAAAACACATGCAGCCTACAAATACACATTATAAACAGCATCCTCACCATTGCAATACTGCATACAGCCTCCATACACACACACAATTTTTACGATCTCTTTTATTGCATAAACATATTCTGCAGTGCTGTACAATATGTAAAACAAGACAAATAATTAATTGACACATTGACATACAGGAACACAGCATTCCACACACACCCCCCCACAAATATCACGTGTTTGGATGATACTTGAATGGCTGCCCATGTGGGGGACACTGCTTGTGATGTCACCAGCAAACACAGTGGAAACTTTTATTTTGCTTTATTTCTTTATTTTAATGGGGGCGGGGGAGGGGAGAGAGAGGCCAGCAAGGCTTACTCCATCCAAATACAGTGTTTTATTAAAACACTGTGTTTGGCTGGATTAACCCCTTGAAAGTAAATCTGGCCCCATTTGGGGGCCTTGCAGATGGGAGTTATGACTGGGCAGAGTGCACATATCTGTGTGAGAGATGCAAAAAGAAGGGGGGAGTAGAGTAGAAGTAGCCAAAACACTTTGGAGGGGGGGTCCTTGATCTTCCATTCCCGAGAGGTCCTGTGAGTTGTCAGTCCGCTCCTGGCAGTAAGTGCATAGCTACCTTGTCACCTGTATTCCCCTACCCCCAACCAAACCCCGTTAAATTTAGGAAGAGCAGGCATCTGCCGTGTGGGTAGGCAGGTGCCTACTATGCAAATTACAGTAAGTAGGCAGGGGGGGGCACATGGGAGGACAATGAATAATAACTTTTCAAAATCATCATTTATATGCAGTGATGCACCGAACGGTTCGCTGGCGAACAGTTCCTGGTGAACAAAGCATGTTCGCGTTCGCCACGGCGGACTTACATATGCGCGGTTCGATCCGCCCCTATTCGTCATCATTGAGTAAACTTTGACCCTGTACCTCACAGTCAGCAGACACATTCCAGCCAATTAGCAGCACACCCTCCCTAGCAGACCCTCCCACCTACTGGACAGCATCCATTTTAGATTCATTCTCAAGCTGCATGCTTAGTGAGAGGAGGGAAAGTGTAGCTGCTATTGATTTGATAGGGAAATGGATAGCTAGGTTAGTGTATACAGTGTCCACTACAGTCCTGAAGGACTCATCTGATCTCTGCTGTAAGGACAGCACCCCAAAAATCCCTTTTTAGGGCTATAACATCAGTCTGCTTTTTTTTTTTTTGTGTGTAATGTAATTGCAGTTGCCTGCCTGCCTGCCTGCCAGCTTCTGTGTCAGCCCCACAGTGGATACTGTGCCCACTTGCCCAGTGCCACCACTCACTCACTGGTGTCACAATAGCTTGCATTTAAAAACAAAAAACTTTTTTCACTGTTATAGATTGAATAGCAGTTAGTTGTCTCAAAACAGGTGTGTCAGCCCTACAGCGTGTACTCTGCCAGTTCACAGTGCCACTCATATCTGGTGCCCTGAAGCAGGCCAGGATCGGCTTGGGGATGTCCGGAGAAGTACTCACAGATCACTGTTCAAGGTCTGTTTGTCTCGATAACCCGTCAGCATTGCCATTTTGCTTTCCAGGGCGATAGTGACTTGTAAAGTCAAAAGGCTGTAGCGCCAAACTCCAGCGCAACAGCCAGGCATTGTCTCCTGCCACCCTGTTCAGCCACACCAACGGGTTGTGATCTGTGAGTAAGGTAAACTGTTGTCCATACAAGTAAGGTTGCAGCTTTTTGAGGGCCCACACCACCGCCAGGCACTCCTTTTCAATGGCAGTGTATCTACTAACCTGGGCAAAAGTTTCCGGCTTAGATAAGCCCCGGGTTGCTCGCCGCCATCTACTCCGACTTGGCTCAGTACTGCTCCCAATCCAAACATAGAAGCGTCTGTATGGACGAGAAAGCGTTTAGTTGGATCAGGAGCAGAAAGTACAGGTGATTTAATGAGCGCCGTCTTGAGCTGTTGGAAGGCCTGTTCACACTCTGGGGCCCATACTACTATCTTGGGGAGGTTTTTACGCGTTCCTATATGGCACTTACTGGGCTTTAGGGTCAGTCCGGCCTCCCTAATCCGGTCTAGTACGGCTCCTATGTGGGTCAGGTGTTGGGCCAGGAGCAGCTAAAAATGGCTATATCATCCAAGTAGGCGCAGGCATACTCCTGAAACCCATCCAGTAGCCGATCTACCATCCTCTCAAAGTTAGCCGGGGCATTCTTCATCCTGAATGGCATGACCTTAAACTGATACAGGCCAAACGAGGTGACAAATGCCGACTTGTGGATGGCGTCCTCGGCTAATGGAATTTGCCGATACCCCTTGCACAGATCTATTGTGGTGAGGTACTGGCCTCTGGCCATTTTGTCTATGAGCTCGTCTATCCGGGGCATAGGGTAGGCGTCTGAGGTTGTTTTATCGTTTAGCCTCCGGTAGTCTACACGGTACTAGTACTACCGGGGAGGCCCAGGGGCTGTCAGAGTGTTCTATCACTCCTAACTGCATCATTTCTTTCCGCATATTTTCTTTAACTGCTTCGGGTATGTGATAGGCGGTTTGGCGAAGGGGGGTCTGGTCTAGGGTTTCAACTTTGTGAGTGGTTAATGGACTGTACCCAGGTAGGTTGAAAAACGTGGCCCCCTTGTCCTGGATTAGTCTTTGGACCTGGGTTCGCTCCTGGGGGTCTAACCGTTCTCCTAACTGTACTTCTCCCAGGCCTCCGCTCTGGCCCTCTTGGTCTAGGAGATCTGGGAGTGGCAAATTATCATAATCTTCAGTGGCAGGTGCACAGATCGCGGTTACCTCTTCCGTGCGCTCGTGGTATGGCTTGAGCATGTTCACATGGAGCATGCACTTGCCTCCCGTGCCTGTGACCGCACCGATCACAAAGGTGGTATCACAAACCTGCTCTACCACCTTGTATGGGCCCTGCCAGGAAGCCTGCAGCTTGTCCTTGTGGACAGTGTCAATCCATATCTGCCAAGTGACCCTATGTAGGGGGAACAGTCTCTATTCTCCTCTGTGTCAGTGTGTATCATGGTCTCTGAGGACAGGTGTCAATCCATATCTGCCAAGTGACCCTATGTAGGAGGAACAGTCTCTATTCTCCTCTGTGTCAGTGTGTATCATGGTCTCTGAGGACAGGTGTCAATCCATATCTGCCAAGTGACCCTATGTAGGAGGAACAGTCTCTATTCTGCTCTGTGTCAGTGTGTATCAGGGGCTCTGAGGACAGGTGTCAATCCATATCTGCCAAGTGACCCTATGTAGGGGGAACAGTCTCTATTCTGCTCTGTGTCAGTGTGTATCATGATCTCTGAGGACAGGTGTCAATCCATATCTGCCAAGAGACCCTATGTAGGGGGAACAGTCCCTATTCTGCTCTGTGTCAGTGTGTATCATGCTCTCTGAGGACAGGTGTCAATCCATATCTGCCAAGTGACCCTATGTAGGGGGAACAGTCCCTATTCTGCTCTGTGTCAATATGTCATATGTCAGGTATCAATCCATATCCATTGTGATTTAGGAATGTTAGGTGATTTCTGCCCTTTATGGATTAAAACCAGACTCTGCATCAACTGTGTAATTTTCCATGGGAGTTTTGCCATGGATCCCCCTCCGGCATGCCACAGTCCAGGTGTTAGTCCCCTTGAAACAACTTTTCCATCACTATTGTGGCCAGAAAGAGTCCCTGTGTGTTTTAAAATTCGCCTGCCCATTGAAGTCTATGGCGGTTCACGAACATTTGCGGAAGTTCGCGTACCGAAAATTTCGGGTTCGCGACATCACTATTTATATACAGTTGTAATCAAAATTATTCAACCTCAATTGAAAATAGGGTTTATTGTCAAATTTTACAGACTTTCAATGAACAAATCAAGCAAATGCTTCAAGTGGTTTCCAAATTCAACTGAAAATGCAACTTATAGTGACTTCTTCAGTCTCAACATTATTCAACCTCCTGAATAGAATCCCTCACAACAGCACAAATATGCAAAACAGGTGTCGTTTCAAGGACACCTGATGCAACTAATCAAGGGCTTCATTAATTGCACCACATGTGCTTGAGCTAGAACACTTGCAATACCCAAACTAGCTAGGGATTTGTTGAGTGTCACGTTTGACAGAATGTTAGAAATATGGCTTATTCAAAAGAATGGTGCAAAAAGTTAAGGGAAGCGATCATCGCCCTTCACAAACAAGGAACAGAACACAAAAAGAAACCTTGAATGTTCCAAGAAACACAGTTGGAAGCATAGCTCACAAGTTCAAAGTTTAAGGGACAGTGGTTACAGTACCTGGATGGGACAGGAAAGTGAAGCTATCAATGGCTGCAAACCGATATCTGACAAGGCAGGTTGCAAAAAATCCTTAAGTGACAAATGGCACTGATGTTTCAGTGAGCACAGTAAAGCACATACTAAATACAGAAGGTTTCCATGCTAGAACTCCAAGACGTACACCTCTACTGACAAGAAAGATCGGCTCCAATATGCTCAAAATCATGTAATCAAGACACAGAAGTTTAAAGATTCTGTTCTGTGGAGTGATGAAACAAAACTGGAACTTTGCGGTCTGGAGGAAGAAAAATCAAGCATATGCTGAAAATATCACTCTGCCTTTAAGCATGGTGGTGGCTCGATGATGCTTTGGGGCTGCTTTGCTTTCTCTATCAATGGAAATCTGCAGAGTGTGGAAGGTAAGATGGGTTCACTGAAGAATCAGGAAATCCTGGGAGAAAACATCATGCTGTCTGTGAGGAAAGTGAAACGTGGGCATCATTTAACCTTCCAACAAGATAATGATCCCAAGCATACCTCAAATTTCACCAAACCTTGCTTGGCGAAGAATTCCTGGAAAATTCTACAGTGGCCGTCACAGTTGCAGCACGCAAATGCAAGAATATTACTGAACTGGAGGCCATTGCTCATGAGCAATGGGCTAAGACGTCTCAGGAACGCTGCCAGAAGCTGGTGTCTGGCTATGAATCTCATTTACAGCAGGTCATAATAGTAAGGGTGCTCTACCAAGTACTAAACATACTCGCCATGAAGGGGTTGAATAATTTTGAGACTGAGAGTAATTATAAGTTGCATTTTCAGTTGAATTTGGGGAAACCACTTGAAGCATTTGTTGTATTGAGCTATTTCAATTGTAGATTATGCTAGCTTTGGTGTACCTATAATCTTAATTTTATTATTGACAGGAGGCGAATATTTGTTTAAGTCTCTCTTTACTAGAACTCCACAGCAGCTCAGAGAAAACAACCAATCAGAAAAAGGTACTATAAAACTCCCCTCCCCATACATCATTTCCTCTTTCAAGCTGCGACAAAAACAGAACAAAAGGCAGAAAAAATATAATGAAGATACAGATATAATGAAGTCCTAGATACAATGAATACAACAACGTCCACCATCTGAGAAGAACCGGTCAGATGGACTGTAAGCTGAAATGAGAGAAAACAGAATTGAAAAGGTTGGTTAGCCAACGAAATGTACTCTGAACAAAACATGTAGGCTCCCAGTGAAATAACCAGAAATACCATAATATGCATAGATCCCAACCCTTACTAGGAAAAACGGTCATAAGAACAAATGACAGGTATCAGTGACAACAAATAGAGTTGCATACTTACCTGATGAACCCAAACTATTAATGTTAAACAAGGGAGGGATAAGAATGGGAGGGAAATATTCGCCTTCTGTCATTAATAAAATTAAAATTATAGGTACACTAAAGCTAGCATAATCTACAATTTTATAACATGACAGGAGGCTTCATATTTTCTGTTTTAACGCTCAGTCAACAAATCCAACAATGTTTGTTTCACTGGTACCTGTTCCAGGAGAAAACCAGAGCAAAACCCAAATGGTCCTTCCAATTGTGAGAAGTGACAGCGGATGGTTCGATGAAGATGCCAGCTGACGCTGTCCCACTAATTACGGAAAACACTCAATCCGCTGGTAGACCGTACGTGGGGATGTGACCCCCTTCCTGGAAAACGATCCATGACCTGCAAAGTCGATCTAGTAACCATATTCCTGCGGATGCAAATTCTGAAGATCATTTGCAGACTTGAAACCGTGAGAAAAACCTGCTGCCAGGCCTCGACCCTTGATGTGAAAGATGGTTCCTCCGATCATGTCAGTGTCACCCGGTGATGTGGTCGTGCAGGCAAAGTACTCCCAAGAGGCGTCCAGTCAGGGATCCAACCTGAATTTTGCAGGAGATGGCACAGGGAGGAGGCAAAAACCAAAAGCGCAGTACAGATTAAGGGGAAATCCAAAGGCAGGGTTAGACGAGAAGCAGAAGTCAGGGCTGGCAGCGGAGTAACGAAGTCGATAAAGCAGGCAGAGGTCAGAGTCCAGGAAATCAATCAACAACGTAGCAAAGATCCGGCAGAAAACACCAAACAGGCAAAATGACCAGATGCTAGGTTTCAGGCAGGGCTGGCTTTTACAGCCTGCTAATTTGCTAATTAGGTGCAGCTGACCCTAATTGGAAAAGGGCTGCAGGTGGATCAGCACTGCTTAGTCCAGGCAAGGGGTCAGGAAGCATAATAATGTAAACAGATACTAAAGTCCCCTGGTGGACAGCACAGCAGAGAACCTGACTGGAATGTTGGAGCTGTGAGTTCAAACCCAGCCAGGTCCCTTAAAGGGGAGGTCACACCTTGCTGTCTGCAGGATTCACGCTGTGCTATGGCACCCTCCAAGTCATGATGATTTATGGTGCATTGGTTTAGACATTTTCAATATTGGTTAGGTTTAGGTCCTTTTGATTGTAAATCATTATTCCAATTTAACATGTGTTTGTGAATGATTGAAGAAAATTAACTAAATATAGAATTAATTTGTTATAACATTTCTTATTTTCAAATTGGCATTATACTTATCTTGTCACCAGTATGTACAGAACAATAAAATAAACCTAAATATATTTATCTCTATCCATTTATCCATCTATGGTCAATACATAAGCCCCTCCTTCTAACACCTTATTTATGACTTGTCTATGAGGTCATAAGGAGGGGCATCACATCACCAGAGCTTTGAGGACATTTAACAGACTTGAGCTGCATTTGAAAGAGGAGTCTGATCAAGGTGTAAGTGCTGTAAGCCATACATTGCTTTATTATAATAACAGCTTGCTAAGAACCTGTGCTTTACAGCTTCACTTGGCAGGCTTACTGCAGCACACTGAACTATATACAAGGGGGATATAGAAACATAGAATGTGACGGCAGATAAGAACTGTTTGGTCCATCTAGTCTGTTCAAGTTTCTAAATACTTTCATTAGTTCCTGGCCTTATCTTATATCTAGGATAGCCTTATGCCTATCCCATGCATGCTTAAACTCCTTCACTGTGTTAACCTCTAACATTTTAGCTGAAAGGCTATTCCATGCATCCACTACCCTCTCAGTAAAGTGATACTTCCTGATATTATTTTTAAACCTCTGCCCCTCTAATTGAAGCCTCTTGTTGTAGTAGTTTTTCTTCTTTTTAATATAGTCTCCTCCTTGTTGTGTTGATTCCCTTTATGTATTTAAATGTTTCTATCGTCTTTCCCCCAAGCCATACATGTTAAGATCCTTTATATTTACTAATTTATACTGTACAATATAAAATAGTAAATATAAAGAATGAATGTACTAGTTGAATTAGGTAACAGTTATTATCTTAAATGTAAAACTACATATATGATTTTTAAATTTTGTTTTTGTTCTTCTCTATAGTGTATTTTTTCATATATAGTCACTAATAATTTGTTTTGTCTTTTATAGCCTCTCCTCTGCCTATACATCTGTGTGTTCTGTGAGTCAGCTCCGGCTGCAAATGATGAGGACTTTGCATTATACTATTAGTTTCCTGAGGTATGAATGAATTATTGCATCTAACTATTTTATATAGGCGCAACATGATGGCAGACTTTTTGTTGTATATTGAACATGACATATGCATAGTCCCCTTTTGGCATTTGCTTAACCCCTTCAGGACGGAGTCAATAGTACATGTTCTGATGAAAACAAAATGTAAACAAAAACTGGAATTTGCGCTAAATGTCTATTGTGAAACGATGATCGACTATTCTGGGAGAGAGTGAAACCTAGAGATAACAAAAAAGAGGGAGAAGTAAATAGAGGTTGAGAATTCCAACAAAATGTATCCTCGTCGAGGAGTGATAATTGGTCCTGATCCAAGGGGTAAATAGGACCTGCATAGACGAAGAAGAGTCGGCACGTGCTGTAGTCGCGAGGTGAACCCTAAAGGAGTTGAAAGTGATTCGAAAAGTAGCCATGCTGGAGAAAAACAGAATTGGCGTGTGACGAAGTGCCCTTCGCCACTCGTGCCTGGAGAGGACTGCTTGCCCGCCTCTTGCCCTGTGACTATGGCCCCTGGGATGTATTGCCCTTTAAAGACATGATTTGGGCATAATGGATTTGTGTTGTGCTGCTGCTGGCCCTTTAAGAACCATGTGGGGACATACTGTGGAGTTACTGGGTGGCCACCATTTCCTGTATCAGAAGCACATGGTGAGAACAATGGATGGCGGCCATTTTAACTCACAGACACTGTTTGGACTTTTCAACACGGTGCCATCTCGCCAGTATTTGGTGCACAGAGACATCGTGCAGTGGTTTTGGACTATACAGCAGGGGACACATTATAAAGTGATTGTTTTTCATTTAGCCTGTATATGTTCTGCAGAATCTGCATTAAACTGTATTTTCCAAAGTACTGAACGGATCTGGGTGAATTTTGGATATGTGGTTCACCCAGATCCCCCGGTTCCAAGGATATACTTTTTATGGGGTTATTGCATGTTTTGGGGTCCCTGTGATGTATATTTTAGAAGTTATGAATGCTGTAAAAATTGTAATGTTTCTGGCCAGCAGATAATTGAGCTTTGTGTATTGTAGAAACTCAATTATCTAGCCTGGCCCAGAGGAGGAGTTTTGTGTTGCATAAATTGTGAGTTCTGTGTGCCAGTAAATTAGTCTTGTTCCAGCATTAAGCCTTAGCTCATGTTTGGGGGAAGGGATACCTACACTCTGGGGATTGCTATAATCACTTACTCCCCAGAGGAAGCTCTTGCAATAGCTTGATTTGTTCCTGTTCCTGCTCTCTGGGGAAAGAGAGGTTCACCCACTGGAAGCTGGATCCTGGCCTTGGGTCCAGGGTGGGTGGAAACAGCAGAGACCCCGGCGCAGTTGCATCGCTGGAAGTGGGGTCTGCAGTGCTGATGGTGTCGGTTGGAGTGCTTGGAGTCCTCAGCGAGCACTAGGAGCATCGATTGGCGGAGGTACTCAGTCGGAGTGCCGGCGTTCCGTCACAGCCTTGGTGAGCGGGTCTGGGTCAGGATGTCCATCCGTGAGACTGTCGACTGATTAGGGAGAGAGTGGAATAATCCGAATAACTATTTCTACGATCCTGCTCCATTCCAGCCCTGCCAAAGACCCATGGAGGGACTTATGGTATGCACGTCACACCCAAGATAGGGTATAACAGAGTGAGGCATCTAGGTCCCAGTATTCCTGATTGTTAGGGGGATGTTATTTCCAAGAGTAGGTCTACGAAGTCTGAAGTCTAGGATTCCCTATGAAGGGTTACCCACCATCATCGTCTAGAGTCCCGTGATCTCATAGCGTTCTCTAATACGTAGAGAAAACGTAAAGTCCCTTCGCTAATGACCGCTGACTCCGGAGAATAGATATAGCGAACAAAGGGGTGCATAGCTTCAACCGTCCGAAACAGGGACTCTCCAGGTTAAGAACGTCGGGTAGCCAGATCCGAACAATACACAGGCCCTGCGCAGTACTCCAGCAGGAGGTTGCATCGCAACTTTGTGACGTCTGTGTAGGATTTGACATCAAAGTAGGGGTTCCCCTCATAAGGCCCCAGCAGTCATCTTTGTCGGTGCCTGAATAGGTGGGTGAGCGAAAGATCAAAACCAGGACGGCTCCCGTGAGGGGTTTAGTGCAAAGAAGAAAAGTCCTCCATATCCGAATTATGATCCCCAGATACGAGAAGTAGAGGAAGTCCTGCCATCTATCCCAAGATTACCAACGACCAGGGAACCCAAATCGACCGGGACTCCGGTCTTTCCATGCGACCAGTGCGTACGGTGTATCTGCAGAACGGAAAGTGGGACTTCCCCATTCCAGCCATCCGAGTGAGGTAGTGTATGTTTATTCCTTGCAGGCCTCAAATCTCATGCTACCTTTGATAGGGGAAAACTGACTGAACAGTTTTCCCTAATGGTGTGCCTAAATGTAAGTCGAGTGCGGTAGCCTGTTCAATACGATGCCGATTATACCATAACTTATACCTGCAATAACTGGGGTTCACCCATTAGCAGTACAACCTCCAGGAGTATATCCAATAGGGAGGTATAGGGGCACCAACAAAGTGGCCAAACCTAGGAACTGTAGCAGAGAGCCAGTTCTGAACAGCCCATACCCTGTCCAACAGGGCATCCGGGAAACATGTAAATAAGGTGCAAAAATCTCCCCCAGTAATACCTTAGTGAATATGTCCCGAGTGGGGATAGAGTGGTATAGATCCAGCAGACCATTATAGGAGTTGTAACGGTGCAGAACCATTCGAAACCTGTAATACCCTGTCCGATCAGGTGGTACCTATATAACGAAAATAAATAGTAGCACCGTCGTTGGATCGAATGGAGGGGTTCTTACTTTTACCCCGTCTCTACGAAGCAGTGTCTCCTAGACCTACCGGTGAGATAGTCATCGCCCTTCTTGCAAGGGCTGTAGCATCCGTGTCCAAAAATCTGGTATGTAGCACAGACCTCCATATTGAGATGAATGCAGGAGGGATGCCCCTCTACGAAGGCATCGGCTTCAGCCTCGGGCTGAGGTTATGGGAGGGCCGCACCCTCTTACATTACGAACCTGAGTCCATATCAGGCTCAGACTGACTGCATGCGAGGTGCTCGCCCCTTAAAAATACCCACGATGGGCTGAGGTCCTAAGAGGGGTCTCCCTCTAACCATGAATCACCCCCTGTCTCAGTCATATGAGAGGTGGACTCAAACCGGGAGTGGACAATACTCATAGTAGTCGGAGTAATAATTCAACCTATGGCCGTGTCCGTGAATCTAATAATGGAGACCGGCTGAGAAAACTGCAATAGTTAGAAAATTACGGAATCTACAGGAGGCGGTCTGGGTTCCCGTGCCAGTGCGCGGTATCCAAGATGGCCGCCGGTAGCCTGAGAAAACACTGGAGATGTACTCCACGATCTACGAGAGCTGTCCGCTCCTGGAGCTGGCTGAGGCGAGGTGGCCACGTGTGAAAGGGGATCCGGCCCCAGAGACCGGGAAAAAATCCGCCGGAGCTCGGAGGCCCCAAAGACCCCACACTAAACCACCACATTAAATAAGAACTAACATAGAATAAAATAACCAGGTGGAAAGCATAAAGTGTATCAGCAAGAAACAGTAAATTCTCAAACAAATTAAATATAAATACTGTAAATAATCAATTACATTCCAAAGCCACCAACTAGAAGCAGAAGGCAGTGGTACTCTGAGCTGTACTCATGCGGAGCAGCAAAGAAAGAGGAAATGATGTATGAGGAGGGGAGTTTTATAGTACCTTACATTTTTCTGATTGGTTGTTTTCTCTGTGCTGCTGTGGAGTTCTAGTAAAGAGAGACTTAAGCAATATGAAGCCTGCTATCATGTTATAAAATTGCTTTTGTTAAAGGACCACTATAGGCATCCAGACCACTTCAGCTTAATGAGGTGGTCTGGGTGCCAGGTCCAGCTAGGGTTAACCCTTTTTTTATAAACATAGCATAGCAGAGAAACTGCTATGTTTATGTTAGGGTTAATCCAGCCTCCAGTGGCTGTCTCTTGACAGCCGCTAGAGTCGCTTGCGTGCTTTTCACTGTGAAAATCACAGTGAGAAGACGCCAGCGTCCACAGGAAAGCATTGTGAATGCTTTCCTATGGACTGGCTGAATGCGCGCGCTGCTCTTGCCGCGCATTCAGCTGTAGAGGAGGAGAGGAGGCGAGGAGGCGGAGGAGAGCTCCCCGCCCGGCGCTGGAGAAAGAGGTACGTTTAACCCCTTCCTCCTCCCAGAGCCCGGCGGGAGGGGGACCCTGAGTGGTCCTTTAATTGCAACATCTGAAAATCTGTACATATTGACAGTAAACCTGATTTTCAATGGGGGTTAAGTCATTTTCATTACAGCTGTATATACATACATATGTACACACACTGCCCCCATTAGCTGTAGTGCCAGGAAACACTAGTCATGGTTATTGTATTTCCTTTGTTCTGATATAAGCATGCAGTTTGAAGAGATCAAGTAACTTTCACTTTTCCATTTGCAGAATGTTTCCATGAATACATACAATGTTTCCATCCGTGATGATTCTAGTTGCCAGTTTATCCAGTGCTTCAGTAAAACTTCCTAGTTCATAAACACTTATTGTGCCTGTCTCAAAGTATTGGAACCATATTGCCCTTACTTTTATGTTAAGACATAACATGTGAGTTAAAGGTACACTATCATCACCAAAACAAATTTAGCTTAATGAAGCAGCTTTTGTGTATAGATCATGCCTCTGAAGTTTCACTGCTCAATTCACTGCCATTTAGGAGTTAAATTACTTTTGTTTCTGTTTATGCAGCCCTAGCCACTCCTCCCCTGGCTGTGACTGACACAGCCTGCATTAAAAAAATATTTCCATCGTTTCCAATCAGATGTAACTTACTTAAAACACATTTATCTCCTGTTCTTTAAATTGAACCTTAATTACATATATAAGGCTCCTGCAGGGTCTAGCAAGTTATTAAAGGAGCAGAAGATAAGAAATTATAAATTGAACAGAATTTGCAATACATGAAGTGTAAACATTAGATGACTCTTTACAGGACGTGTTTAGAAAGGTTGTGCAAGTCACATGCAGGGAGGTATGATTAGGGCTGCATAAACAAAGTGATTTAACTCCTAAATGGCAATGAATTGAGCAGTGAGACTACAGAGGCATGATATATACACCAAAACTGCTTCATTAAACTAAAGTTGTGTTGTGACTATAAGTATCCACCATGAAATTAGCTAATACCACAGAAGATCTACGATTTCCATTTCCTGCTCCTACCAAGCTGTCACTGGGACATAAATGCTGAAATTCTAATTAGGAAAACAATTGGCAATATTGGTAAATAAATGCTAGCAAACTACCATGCTCCATTGTTTTTATAACAAAATTGAATCTAATTTGCACTTTTCCAAGGGGAATTATATTATATTATATTCATTTTGAGATTTGTAGACAACAGAACAGTCTCTGAGTAGAGCATGGTATGAATTCATTATGTAACTAAGTCTAAAGTTACAGCTGTCAAATAAAGCAATGTATTGACTGAGCACTTGGCTTACTGATGCAAGAAGGTACAATGCCTCTAACATAAGTTTATTTTTTACATGGAAAAAATGGCTCAATAGTCTTATAAATCCTTGTTTTTTTTTTTCCTGGAATAGATACATTGCCACATTACAGTGTTGTAGCTCAAGAAAAAGAGGGATTGAGCCAAGAGGGTTTGAGTGAAAAGAAAAAAGCAGGGAACAAGCATAAAAAAACAAAAACAGAGAACAAGAAAAAATAGCATCATGGTTAATGTTACAAAGGAATTATAAGTAAAAATAGTAGAATTTTTTTTCACAATGGTATGTCCATTATTACGTCCTATAATAATTGTTTCAACAGGATGGGGCTGCTGTCCATACAGCCAGGGCCTCAATGGACCTCCCGAGACAACTGTTCAGTGAGCAGATAATTCAAGGAATTGCCAGATTAATTGGCTGACGTGACCTGACCTCTCATCACCCGGATACTACTTGTGGGTATATCCAAACAAACCGTGTACTCTTGAGCAACTTAATAAGGATATCTGTGTATAAATTCAAGCACTAGATCCTCAAACATTAACTAATATTATGAACAATACAATTGAAAGAGTCATTAGACGAATCAAACTCATTAAAAAGATGTCATCTTCTGTACCTAGTCAAACAAATCTCCATATGTTAATCATTCATTCTATGTAATACCATTCAAATTGGTTCATTAATAAAGAAAGTTATTAGATTCTTCAAACCCTACTCTGAATATTGGCCCACCCTTTATTTGGTTCTTCATTTACCTGTTATGTAATTATGAAGAAGACTTTCAGGGTTATTCACAAAAGTAAGAGTTGTCAGGAATTCAACTTGTGACTTTAAAGCTTAAGGCCAAAGTAGCTGAACTACAAAAATGCTTAAAATCAGCTATGTTTCCAGTTTCAATAAAACTAAGTAGCTTATTCACCTTATTCACTCTCTTCTGATAATTTAAATTTTCTTGTTATTCTCAGCCAACCAGCATCTTTTACTTTCAGGAAAATCTTCTGCTATTTATGACACCCCACTCAACCCACCCCTTCCTTATCTAACATGTATGCGTTTTTATCAAAATAAAACGTAAACAAAACTTGGAATTTAACGATATGTCTGTTCAACCGTAATTCAGCTCTTTCATATTAAGTGCACCCACACTTATTATATATCATTTTATTCAGGGGAAATAGGAATTTCATTTAACATCAAATATTTAGCTATGAAACATAATTTAATATGACTAAAATATAAAACAATGTAAGAAATCAAGAAATGTTGATATTTGTTTAGTTCTGCAGGACATTTTAACTGTGAATGTCATAATACTGACATAATACACATATTTATATTCAGCGATGTCTCACATGTAAAACAGTACCCCCTATGTACTTGTTTAATGGTTTAATGGTTTAATGTTAAATTTTTGGGGGTTTTTTCACATTGAAATTCGCCACATTGGTTACTTTGCCTTTGAGACGTATGGTCAGAGGCGGCTCTCTAATGGGGCCTCGCGGCCGCCTAAACCACCTGAGGACAGACTGTGTCGGGTCCTGGGTCAGTGATTAGGGTTAGGGTTGGGGATTGGGTTAGGGTAGGGTTGGAGGTAGGGTTAAGGTTGGGGATTGGGTTAGGGTAGGGTTGGGGGTAGGGTAAGGGTAAGGGGTAGGGTTGGGGGTATGGTTAGAGGTAGGATTAGGCTTAGGAGTTAGTGGTAGTGTTAGGGGTAGGACCGAAGAGCCGAAGTCTCAAAGTCCTGAGTTGCTGAAGTCCCGAAATTTGGAAGTGCCGAACCGAACCGAATATTTGCCCATGCACATACCTAACAACCAACATAGGATTCCAGGGGGGGATGAAAAGAAAAACAATTATTTTCAAATTATTTATTTTATAATTTTTACAGATCCAGTGAAACTAATTAAAAAGAAGTCAAAATAGAATCAAATATCAGTCCTGATTGTTAAATGTCTACTATGTCTATAATCTAAATACATTTTGATAATTATCGCTAACCTTATACCAAACCCCACACTAATGCTATACCAACCATACAGCTTACCCAGTGCTTACACTAACACAAACCCTATCTATACTCTAACTTTAAACCTTAACCCTGCAGCTAATACTAACCATATCCCTATCCTAACACTAACTCTTACTCTACCCTACTCTTACCTCTAAATTCTGATATTAGAAATGGGTTTTAGTATCTATCTGTGACCGCCACCTAATGGCTGTTTTCATAATTACACTTAGTGTAATTGTGAATAATCCAGGGTCCCAGATGATTTTACAAAAATCGGTGCTGGGCACAGGAAATGGTCTATTCAGATTCCATGAAGGTCTGCCAAAAGCAGTCTGCCGCCCAGACTAAAATGTGGCTGAGTGTGATTGTTTAGCTGCGGTTTTATGAATGAATTTAAAGGGCTCTGTGCAGTGCTGACTTCCAGTGCTGCAAAGACCTCATTGGTCAGTCTGTGGCTACTAAAAATGACCCCAGCTGTCTAACAGGACTAACTAACAGGTGTGTGCATGGATTTAGCCCTTTTAAATGCCTGCTTAAAGAGCTCATCAAAAAGTCAGACGTCACTAAAAATGGCTCCAGCAGATTCAGAGGAGCCCTAGGTATCCATTGATAGCACGGTTAAATTTCTGTTCATGGGGCGGAGCCTAGCACCATGAGTGAACGGACGTGCCGAGATCAAGCTCCCGCAACAAACCACGACTTTGAGGGTGAAAACCCCCCAAATCGACGCGCCCGCACCTCGGAGGGCTAAATTAATGCTGGGGAAACCCTAGTGTACTCATAGACACCAAAACAAGCCTTCTACCCAACCGGGAACCCGAAATCCCGGTCCCCGCTGGAAGTCCGGAGTAACCTGCCTTTACTTAGACCGGACCCCAAGCGCTACACACGCATCAGCAGCATCACCACACAAGGCACACATAAGATGGAAGGCCAGCCTGGCATCAGTGTCCCTATGTATCACAATGTCAGTGTCCCCATGTCACCCAGTCTCCCAGTGTCTGTGTCCCCATTTCACCCAGTGTCCCCATGTCTCAGTGTGTCCCGTGTCACTAGGATACTAGGGGACACTGAGAGACATGGGGATACAGTGAGACATGGGGACACTGAGAGACCCGGGGACACTGAGACACTTGGGGACACGAAAACACTTGGGGACACTGGGAGACATGGGGGTACTTGTGGATACAGACATGGGGACACTGGGAGAAATGGAGACACTGAGACATTTGTGGACACTGGGAGAAATGGGGTCACAGACACTAGGGACATGGGGACACAGACACTGGGAGACATGTTGACATATACATTTTGGGAAACTAAGACACTAGGGACACTGAGGGACATGGGAACACAGACACTGGGAGACATGGGGATACTGAGACACTAGGGACACTGGCTGGGAGGCATGGGGACACTTGAGGATACTGGGAGACATGGGGGCACTTGTGGACATAGACATGGGGACACTGGGAGACATGGGGACACAGACATTTGGTGACACTGGGAGACATTGGGACACTAGGGACACAGAGACATGGGGACACAGACACTGGGAGACATGGGGACACTGAGACACTAGGGACACTGGCTGGGAGACATAGGGACACATGGGGACACTGACACTGGCTGGGAAACATGTGGACACAGACATTTGGGGACACTGGGAGACATGAGGACACAGACACTGGGAGACACTGGGAGACTAGGGGACACTGAGACACGAGGGACACTGACTGGGAGACATGTGGACACTGGGAGACATGGAGACACTGTGTCCCTAGTGTCTCCATGTCCCAATGTGTCTACCTATGTCTCACAGTGTCCCCATGTCTCACAGTGTCCCCTAGTGTCTCAGTGTTCCCATATGTCCCCTAGTGTCTCAGTGTCCCCATGGCTCCCTGCTGCCTCCCCATCCTTCACATACCTGAGCTGTAGTCTGTCTATGCAGACTGGAAGCTGTTGTCTGGTCTCTCTGTGCTGTGTAGCTGCTCCCCCGCGGATCAGTGAGTAGAGAGAGGCAGGGGGATGCTGTAACTTCCTATCCCTGCCTCTCTCCATACACAGTGACCCCTACTGGCCGGTGCTGGTATTGCAGAGTAATCTCTGTTTATACTGTGAAAAATATTTGCATTTGTATTGCCGGTATTACTGCAATACCGTCACGGCCAGGCAGCCTCAAATACCGGCTGTTTCTTAAAATACTAGTCAGGTGGCAAATCGAAGAGTAGTGTGTAAAAGCTCCATCAGCCCCTATGTTAATCTGGCCCTGGATGGGGAGGAGAAAAATGGAAGGATAGGCTGCAAGGAGACACACTGGGAGACAAGGAGAGACACAGGTGGGGGTTAACAGGTGAAGAGAGACAGAGAGGGGAGTTAAAAGAAGTAGAGAGACACAGATGGGGATTAACAGGAGGAGAGACACAGATGAGGGTTTGGATAAGTGGAGAGACCAAGTTGGGTGGACAGGTGAAGAGACACAGATTAGGATTTGGATAAATCAGGGCTTGACAAATCCCAGGTCGCTATGGCAACCAGGAAATATGTTAGCCTGTTCAGTCCTTAAGGTCACCGGCTGCCTGAAAGTGGAGGTGGGCAGTCGGCTTACAGAGGGTAGGTCATGGAGAGCTGAGAGAGGCAGGAGATTGAATGAGGAAGGCGGCGAGAAAGCTATCATCTCCCTGCTCTGCGCAACCTCCAGTGATGCTGGGAGCTG